AAGCCTCACTATTACCATCAAACAACATAGATTTAAAGTGGGGTGGATCTAGTATTGGGTGTATTTTATAACATCATCCTTCATTATATTATAATGATCACACTATAAGATATACCTCGATGAGATAGATTTTTAGACTTTGTCGATTACTAGGAAAGTACAGGGGTGTGCCAGTTTCAGCTGTTTTTTCGCCTCTCCCTTTTACAAAAAGTTATGTTGGGTAGTTTTCTAGCAAACCCTCTATTTAATATACACAGAAGAGCTGTTTAAAAAGGGTAAGATTTCCAAAAAAGGCCAACTTTTGGCGAAGGCATACCCCTAATACACCAGTACTTCAACCCCAAGAGTTTATCCAAAAGTGAGGTCCTTCGAATGTAACTAGTCTATATTAAGGATACTTTAAACGTTTTGGACTCTTATTATGGTTCACGAATTCCAACACTTTTTGGTTCAGAAGTATTTCAATTCTATTCCAACTTGCCACAACCAATTCTGGCACTCTTCAATGTACTTTGCACATATACATTTCAAGGAAATAATTTGGCTACAACATTTATTCTTTTAAATAGATTTACAGCTGTTGCTTTTCCTTTTTATCATGAAAAGTTAACTTAAATAAATAGTTAAACCTCACCCCCTTGTGGCTGAAAATGGTCTTATGATCGAGAATAGAGACCCTGTCTGGTCTCTTATCAGGATCTTAGCCAGAGTTAAGCATCTCCAAACATGGTATCCAGTGTCTATTTTATGAGTTCGTAAGACGCTTGACCTTTACTAGAGCCTTATAAATTTATTTCGATCTTATCCCGTTTCCACCTGTCCACTTCTATTGTACGTAAAGTGATGTCCGTTCGTTTTTTTTCTAAATGACTTTGGACCGAGTTATGGCCATTCAAGGTTCAAGTCCTTGAATGTGGTTGAGCATAAGAAAAATAGGGTAAAAAAGCGAGCTCCTCTCTTTTCACACTCTCTGATTCATTCACATTGCTTACGCAGTTGCCCTTCACAGTAGGAAAGTGAAGGTCCTCTATCGAATAGTCAAAAAATATCAAATTCGCACTGACAGTAAACAATGTTTCACTTGCCATGGAGTGTGAGGCTTCCAATGCTTCATGCCCCCGATTTTCGGCGAAGTATATAACCCAAAACCTTAAATTATTAAAATTTTTAGTTATGGAGCAAATTGCTACCGTTTTCCATACTTTTTACAATACTGTTTCCAGTTTTGTTTTCTTATGATTATTTCAATACAGAAACTATACTTTCTCTTGCGCCTGATAATACATTTATGCTTATAGGGGTGATTTTTTATTTTCTTGTAGATTTCTATCTACTGTTTCTGCCGGCTTTTTTGAGGGCCTTATTTGAATACCCATTTTTAATTATCAAAAATGTTATTATACGAATAGTAAATCAAAAACAACTAAAACATCTAACGTTTTATATAACAAAAGCCCGCAGAAACACAACGCCAAACATTTACGAATTTTATTTTTAAATTAATTTCAGGGTGAATATTCAATTAAGATGAATCAGTTTACAGCTGTTTTCTCGATTGTTTTTTTAATTATTTGTTTAATTATAAGCACAGCAACCTTCTTAATTTATCGAATTAAAGTAGCCAAAAAAGAATCGACAGAAAGTTCAAAAATAAAAATTAAATTACTTGTTTATGCCTTAATTACATTGTTTGGGCACGTATTAATTGCAATAATGCTGGTAATGCAATAAAATAAATCGCCAGTTCAAACCCCTAGGGGCCCAAATAGTTTGTGTTTTATCACATGATAGTTATATATAGGGTATCGGTCAGACAGCTCCTCCCTTCCACAGGATCCGATTAAATTTCAAAAAGTCTACATAGAATCATGCAGACACCACTTATTGATACACCCTTAGTGATGACAAATAGTAAATATTATGACAGAGGGGATAATTAAGTCGGCTAGTTAAGAATAACAGTTTCTTAAATTAGAAGGTTAGTGTAAGCGAAGGTGAATTGGACTTGAACAGACGAAGGAGATGAGTGACTAGAATGGTATTCTGATCTAAATAGACTGACATTGACACACAATAGTGATACTATTAAGAACAGTAACTGATTATGAGGGGTACCCAAATAGGGTTATCGCTTGATCAGCTTCCCCACTTCTTAATCAACACGTATCTTAAATAAGATGGTGTAACTAGCATTGGGTATTTTATAGAGAAGTCGAACTTTATAAATATCTTTTCAGATCCTTTTCTGGATTCTTTTTCAATACAACGTTTTTGGTGACAATTTAATTACTAAGGCTGTATATCAACAATATCCTTGGGTGATGGATACGAGCACTCTCGTGCTGTCTAGTTGGAGTCTTTTATGGGCTAGTGATACATTTCGACATGAATTCACAAAATTTTATCTACCCAAAATTTTTTGGAAAAAATCTGGCAATAAAAATTCTGTCGAACCTATAAACTTGATTAATTTGAATACTACTCAGAAAATTACTAAAGATTATTCACCTCCTACTCATAATTTTATTATAACTCATCCTAATTTTGTTCAATAAATTTTTGAGAGATCAAGCTGGGTTTGGACTGGATCTTTAGTTTTTCGTGTCCTAGTGCCCCTTGCAGTTTTGAGCTTTGCGAACTTTTTTCTGGAGTCAAAAGCCAATGGTACCAAGAATAATGGTAACGAGAACAAAAAAAGAGACCATTCCTACATACATAATTTATAAGGTCCGGAGCTCAGTTGAGTCCAAACTCAGTTGAGGTTTACCATGAAATACAAAAAAAAATAAATGGGTAATAAAGTAATAATGGTAATAATAAAGTTGCCAATTATACTTGTCTCAATTTCGAGTTAACAATGAATTAAATTTAAAAGACAAGCAGGAATTTTATTAAATTTAATTGTCATTTAACATAAAATTTAATTGCATATTTTTGACTTTTATTTAATAATTTAAAAAAGATTTTTTTATTAAAAATTTTAGTCTTTTTCAATAATTAATTTTATATTTTGAAAGAATTTAGTTTTGAATTAAAATTTTTTGCCATTAAAATATGAAGAAATTAGAAAAATATGTAGATACCGTCAAGACAAGACCAAGAATCTCTAACGTCTCTAAACGATACCCCTCTCTGGCTTTGTTGACGTAAGAAGCAGAGGTGGGTCGGAACAGTCGGAAATCGGAACTGTCGGAAATCGGAACTGTCGGAAATCGGAACTGTCGGAAATCGGAACTGTCGGAAATCGGAACTGTCGGAAATCGGAACTGTCGGAAATCGGAACTGTCGGAAATCGGAACTGTCGGAAATCGGAACCGGCTCAAAAGTCGGAACTCGTTTATCAGTGATAACTTTTTGCAAAGTGATCAGATCAGGTCAGTCTAATTATGGAAAAGATGCAGCATCCCGAGGCCCATGTATCGTTGAATGAAGTTACTGGATTTTAGTGATATTCGGATATTTGAAGGGATCTCAGGATATAGCGAGGGATTTGGCCTTCCGAGGCGGTACTACTTGTACTAAGTTTTCCCCCTATTACCTGGTACACGACTTAAACTACTTGAATTACATACTTTTGACCCAACAACGGGGGATGTTGACTCAGTGATAAGGGGGCAGTTGTTCTAACAGTGGGGATTGTTATATCCGTGATTTAAACATTTTATAATATTTTTCGGGTGAGAGGCAGAACAAGGAACGACCAAAATACGGACCATACCAAAACACGGACAAGACCAAACAAGGTCTTACCAAAACACGGAATGGACAAATCACGGAACGACCAAAACACGGTCCAGAGAATATTTTAAAAATTTTTCAGAATTATTTTTAAATACTGTTTTTTTCAAATATTCTGATTCAAATACCGTATTTCCTATATTAGAGCCCCATGGGGCTCTATTTTTCAACTATCCTCCAAGGTGGGGCTGTATTAAAGGGTGGGGCTCTAACAGAGGGTGGGGCTCTAATATAGGAAATACGGTAACTTTGATTTTAAAAAATATTCTAATTTTTCAACAATATCCTGATTTAAATAAATTCTGATTTTTAAAAATATGATTTTAAAAGTATTCCGTGTTTTGGTCATTCCGTGTTCTGTCCGTTCCGTGTTATGGAAAGACCTTGTTTTGTCTGTTCCATGTTTTAGTATAGTCCGTATTTTGGTCGTTCCGTGTTTTGTCCGTTCCATGTTCTGTCCCGACACGTTTATTAATATATTTAAATATTTCCCTCATTACATATTTCAAATATTTTCCCATCCAACTTATTTATTTTTTGCCCTTTTCCTAAATCTTTCCTTAACCATTTTCTTTGTGTTTTTATTATTTTTCCACCCCCACCCTCCCTATATATACTTGTTTTAATTTCTTCGACTTTTTTCTCTTGCCTTTATTTTCAATTTTTAGATTTCTTTTAGAAATTTTTTCAATTTAATTTGTAATTTAATAACCAAAATTTTTTTCAGCATTTTTTATTTCTAAATTATTCAAAACCTTATCTTCAATTAATTAAAAATCTTCAATTAAAATAAAACTAAAACAAATCATGCCCAGACAAATGACTTTACCCAGCATACAAACTTTTCGGGTTAGCAAATTTGATGGAACTTTGGCTACTTCGAGTAGTAATTTGGTAAACGAAATTATTTTTTTATTTTTTTCAAAAAAAATTCTTTTTTTTTCAAAAGGTTGATCAAAAAAATCTCGTTTTTAATGACATTGACGGTTTTGTTAATCATTTTTGTGAAGACTCCACAAAAGCTAGAAGCATTAGAAAGGTTTTCATCTTTTTCTCCCCTAAATTCCCCTTATTAGTGTCTGTTGAAAAAAACATAGTTTTTATGTTCGTAAAGTTATTTTTAGACTTTTCAGTTATTTTTCTAAAAGTCCGCAAGTTTTGTCCGCAATTTTATTTTTAAGGAAAATAAATATTTTGTGGAATAGAAATCACAACTTTTGCTAAGTAAGCCTATTGATTTTATTATTTGAAAGTAACCATCTATGTTCTTTGAGAAAATAAAAAATGCTGACTTGCGGACATTTTTTGCGGACAAAAATTTTTTTAATTTTCAGATTTTGGTAGCAACAAATGGTATAGCTGCATTTGAATGTATTCTTTCTATGAGAAAATTGTTGAAGCAATTCTTCCGAAATGACAGAATTATTGAATTTGTTTGTCTAACTACTGAACAGGAAATTCAGTCAAAAGCGGGTTTGTGCAGGAGATTTTAAAGGGTTTAATAGGTTTTAGTGATCGAGATTTTTGAAAAGCCTGTGTCAGCTCCTGGGTACCCCTAAAACTGACAAACCAAAAAAAGTCCGCAATAGTTGTCCGCAAAAATTATATTTTCTTCAAATTTTTCAGAATATCTAAAAATGGCCGATCTCGTTTCCTCCTCAGCCGGTGCAAATACAAATAATTATGCAAGTGTTGATGAAATTGTTGAACACGCAACTCGAAACAACGTCGATGCAGTCTGGGCAGATTGGGGACATGCTAGCAAAGATCCTCGTTTACCCGAAGAATTGAGCAAAAAAAATATTGTTTTTATTGGCCCTCCAAATAAAGCAATGGTTGCTTTGCGGGATCAAATTGCTAGCACGATTATTGCTCAGGTTTGTTGATTTTTCTTATTTTCTGGAAAAATATATTTGCGGACAAAATTTTTTGCGGATTTATTCTTACTGACAAACTTTACAGATTTTTTCGAGTAAATTGTTAGAACAATTTTTTGGAGATTGTCTTTTGTGGAGTTTTTTGTTTAAAATATTTCTTGAAAAGGTATTTGCGGAAAGCTTTTGCGGACTTCCTTCTAGGAACTAAGTTCTAAAAGTTTATGGATGGGGATGATTTAATTGCAAAAATTCAAAGAGACTTAACTTATTAAAAAATTGTCCGCAAAAAATTTATCCGCAAAAAATGCGCGCTAATAATGACCGCAAAGATTCTTTTAAATCCGCAAAAAATCTAGGAATCCGTAAGAAAATATCCGCAAAAATTTGTCCGCAAAAAAACTTCGGACCTTTAGAAAAAATTATTTTTTTTTCAAATTTAGACAGTAAAAATCCCAACATTACAATGGTCTGGAAGTGGATTAGTAGTTGAATCAACTGGAGAAGAAAGCAAAGAAGGGGGAAGCGAATTAGAAGTCTCCGAAGAATTGCATTTAAAAGCTTGTGTCTCAACGCCTGAGGAAGGCTTGGCATCAATGAAGGAAAAAAATATTTCTTACCCAGTAATGATAAAAGCATCTGAGGGAGGTGGTGGAAAAGGAATTAGAAGATGTATTAGTGATGAAGAATTTCGTCTAAATTTTGTAAGAGTGAAGACTGAGGTGTCGGGAAGTCCTATTTTCTTGATGAAGTAAGTGTTTATTTGGGGCATAATTCACCATGTCATTTACAAAAATAGTTATAGGAATTTTTGTAGTTGTTTAAGAGCTTTGAAATTTTGATTATATATTCTTAAGAGTGTTTCTTAGTAACCCCCAAAATTTGAGAATAGCCTTTTAGCCTTTTTCTGAATAGCCTTTTATTTTTTCCGGAACAATCCATTATTCTATTTTCCGGAAAGTTTATTTACCGGTTTCTTAAACTTTTTTTTTCGGATTTATAGTATACTTCCTTCCCGGTATACTTCCTTCAGTATACTTCCTTCCCGGTTGTAGTAAATTAAAATTCCGGAGCAAACACTTAGAACGAATTGCTATGTTTTTCCGGAAAATTAATTCTAGTTTTATTGAAACATAAAACAAAGTTTTTTCTTTCCGAAAAATACAAGGCAGCCCGTTATTCATATTCTATTTTCTGGAAAAATAATTAAAATTAATTCTTTTTTCTCTATCCCTCTAGATGTATGGTCAATGCAAGACATATAGAAGTTCAATTAATTGGGGACCATTACGGCCAAGTAATTCCAATATTTACCCGTGATTGTTCAATACAAAGGCGTTGTCAAAAAATAATAGAAGAAGCCCCAGCAGGAATTGCCTCACCAGAAATTCAACGGCAAATGCAAATGAATGCTGTTTATTTAGCAAAAAAAGTTGGTTATGTTAGTGCTGGGACTGTTGAGGTTTTTATTTTGTTATTAAAAAATTTTTTTCTTTTTATAGTTTCGGGCATATTATCGTTCACCTCCTCCCCTCCATCTATTTTCAATTTTTATTTACGAGGTACTCTTTTGGATTACAGAATTGTTTTTGGCTCTAGGGTTCAGACTGAAAAACCAAAGATTCGGTTCGGTTCGTTGGTTCAGTTTTTCCACTACAAAATAGTACGGGCCCCAAATATTTGAGGAAGAAAATTTTTTTTATTTTAACGGCAATTATTCCCATTATATTTTGAAAATTTTCTTGCAACTTTTCTTAATGACTTTTAGAAAATCCGCAAAAAATTTTTTCAAAAAAAAATTTTTTTTTAATTTTTCTTTTTAATTTCCAGTACATGTATTTACCATCAGAACAAAAATATTATTTTTTGGAATTTAATCCACGTCTTCAAGTAGAACATCCATGTACTGAAATGGTTGCAAATATAAACATTCCAGCTATACAACTTCAAATTGCTATGGGTATACCTTTACATAGAATAACTGAAATTCGTCTTTTTTATGGAATGGATAGATATGGGTATTTTTTATATAGAAAAAATTTTTTTGTGTTTTCAAATATGGGTTTAGAGCTTGTCGAACATCAAAAAAAGGTTCTCACCCAGGGGTGGACGCAATTGCGGATTGCATGAAATTGCGTGTTTTTTGACTTGTGTATTGCGGTCAAGGCAAATTTTTTTCAATTGCGTCCACCCCCTGTTCTCAAACCTTTACTTTTTTCCGTCCCAACCGAAGGATTATTTTGAGCCCCCCCCCCCCCGAAATGGGAGAAAGGGGGAAAAATCAAGAGAAGGATGGATACCAGGGTTCGGTATTCTTGTCAGAATTTTTTTAGCTGTCCAAACTTTTTTTGGTTTTGGGTATCTCGCTCGACATCCGTATTTTTAAATTATAGCTAAAAAAATTTTTTCAAAAAAATTTTTCAAGGAATTCACCTTTGCCTCAAAATCAATGCCGTACAGACACAAATATTCATGTTATTGAAAGAATTAGAATTGCGTGCTACTTTTACTTCTCAAGTAAATTATTTGGTTGGCTTATTACACGATAAAGAATTTTTTGTTTATTGTGATATTTTGTATTTTTATTGTATTTTTTGACTTTTCTGTTTTTTTGTGTATTTTGTTTTAATGTTTCTAGTCTATTTTGTTAATTTTTATTTTTTATATGTTTGAAATTAAAAAAAATTTCTTTTAATTTAATTAAAAAATAATTTCTAATTTTTTAAATTAAAATTTAATACTTTATTAAAATCTTTCCAAATAAATTTAATACTCCATTCCTTTTAATTTCAGGAAAATTCCATGTTAAACGTAACCAATGTCGACATTCTTGTTAGTGCGACTGAGCGAGATGGTACACAATTCAAACAACCTCTACAAGTTGTTTTTGAGAAAGTTGCTTTTACTCGCAATAATCTGTGGGCCTAACTACAGTTTCCGGCTCAGGCTCAGAATTGGACGATTTATATGTCATTCGAAAGAGCTCATCGAGCTGAGTCGAATGGCACCAAAATTTTTCCGCGGAAAAAATTCGGAGCCGAGATATAGGGCTCGAAATGGTCAAAAACCATAGGGGGGAGTAAGCTCATTTTTGGGGTGAAAAATTCAATTTTACAAATAATAGCTCATTCGAAAGAGCTCGTCGAGCTGAGTTGAATGACACCAAAATCAGCTCGATTGGATGATTATGAACAAAATTATGACCAACAGAATCTTCGCTGGAAAAACTGTTTTTGTGCCGCTGCGGAGGAAGCCGGGCATGGTCTTCGCTACACGATGGCCGTGCTTCGCTGCGGTCGTGCTCGCTGCGCTCGCGGCGACCGTAGCGAAGTGGCGGCCGTCGTTCCGCTCGACATGCCCGGCTTCCTCCGCAGCGGCAAAAACTTTTTTCCGCGAAACCCTTGTGGAAGGGGCTAAAACAAACGGTCATAACTTTGTCAAATGACGTCTGATTTTGTTGATTTTGGTGTCATTCGACTCAGCTCGATGAGCTCTTTCGAATGAGGTATAATTTGCATATTCGAATTTTTCACCCCCAGAAAACAGCTTGGTCCCCCTATGGTTTTTTGAATTTAGGGGTCTGTAACTCAGCTCAGAATTTTTTCCGCTGAAAAATTTTGGTGTCATTCGACTCAGCTCGACGAGCTCTTTCGAATGACATATAAATCGTCCAATTCTGAGCCTGATCCGGAAACTAGTTTAGCCAATCTGTGTACTAATAACCTCATGGAAAAGGTATTTTTCTTTATAAAAATGGGTATTGTACTTATAGTGGGTTTTTTTTGGCTGGACCGATTTCGACAAATGAGGTGTCATTCGAAAGAGCCTCGAAAACTGAGTCGAACTAGATATGGGAGAAGTCGGTCCGACAAACAGGGGCCGAGTTACAGACCCACAAGTTTGAAAAAGAGAAGGGGGGCTCATTTTGGGGTGAAAAATTCGAAAATACAAATAATATCTCATTCGACTCAACTCGACGAGCTGGGTCGAATGACACCAAAATCAACGAAATCCGACTTGATTGGACAAAGTTATGATCGTTTGTTTTAGCTCCTTACCTATGGTCTATGTGGAGGTTTTTGCTGCTACGGAAGCCCCAAGTACGTCCAGAACAAGGGAGATAGGAATAGGTTTATGTTACTGACCCAGACCCAGATGCCGTTGACTCACCGCAAGGCGCATGCCGCAAAACCCCGCGCGAAGCGCGGGGTTTTGCGCTCAAAATACTCTTTAATCTGTCCATATCAGAGGATTTGGACAGATTAAGGAGTATTTTGAGTTATATCGTGAATGAAGTTACTGGGATTTTAGTCACGGAACGACCAAAACACGGTCCAGAGAATATTTTAAAAATTTTTCAGAATTATTTTTAAATCCTGTTTTTTAGAATTCTGATTCAAATAACTTAGATTTTAAAAATATGATTTTAAAAGTATTCCGTGTTCTTACCGTTCCGTGTTATGGAAAGACCTTGTTTTGTCCGTTCCATGTTCTGTCCCGACACGTTTATTAATATATTTAAATATTTCCCTCATTACATATTTCAAATATTTTCCCATCCAACTTATTTATTTTTTGCCCTTTTCCTAAATCTTTCCTTAATCATTTTCTTTGTGTTTTTATTATTTTTCCACCCACCCCCACCCTCCCTATATATACTTGTTTTAATTTCTTCGACATTTTTTTTATCTTGCCTTTACTTTTCAATTTTTAGATTTCTTTTAGAAATTTTTCAATTTAATTTGTAATTTAATAACCAAAATTTTTTTCAGCATTTTTTATTTCTAAATTATTCAAAACCTTATCTTCAATTAATTAAAAATTATCAATTAAAAAAAATAAAAATGCCCAGACAAATGACTTTACCCAGCAAACAAACTTTTCGGGTTAGCAAATTTGATGGAACTTTGGCTACTTCGAGTAGTAATTTGGTAAACGAAATTATTTTGTTCAAAAAAAATCTTTTTTTTTCAAAAGGTTGATCAAAAAAATCTCGTTTTTAATGCATTGACGGTTTTGTTAATCATTTTTGTGAAGACTCCACAAAAGCTAGAAGCATTAGAAAGGTTTTCATCTTTTTCTCCCCAAAATTCCCCTTATTAGTGTCTTTTGAAGAAAACATAGTTTCTATGTTCGTATAGTTATTTTTAGACTTTTCGGCTATTTTCCTAAAAGTCCGCAAATTTTGTCCGCAATTTTATTTTTAAGGAAAATAAATATTTTGTGGAATAGAAATCACAACTTTTGCTAAGTAAGCCTATAGATTTTATTATTTGAAAGTAACCATCTATGTTCTTTGAGAAAATAATTAATGCTGACTTGCGGACAAAACTTGCGGACATTTTTTGCGGACAAAAATTTTTTTAATTTTAAGATTTTGGTAGCAACAAATGGTATAGCTGCGGCTGAATGTATTCTTTCTATGAGAAAATTGTTGAAGCAATTCTTCCGAAATGATAGAATTATTGAATTTGTTTGTCTAACTACTGAACAGGAAATTCAGTCAAAAGCAGGTTTGTGGAGGAGATTCTAAAGGGTTTAATAGGTTTTAGTGATCGAGATTTTTGAAAAGCCTGTGCCAGCTCCTGGGTAGTTCTAGGGCTGATTTCTTGCCTGAGCCTGTGTCCAGAAAAAAACCCAGGAAAACCCTAGGAAGATCAAAAAATGCCTGGGTCTACACTCTTTATACAGGAAAACCCAGGCCTTTGTCCAGACCCAGCTCGATCACTAATAGGTTATACATAATTCGTATAGGCATGATGCTGTATTACAAAAACCGTCGAAATACCAATCTGAGGAAATACTGTCATTCCAAATTGTTTAGCAATCTTCCCCGTCGTTGCTGAAGCGACTTTCCCTTCTTTTTCCAACGTTTGGTATTTCGGCGTTTAGTATTATGTACGACTTGTTCTTGTTTTTAAGTCGATACAATTTCTTGTGGGCAGAGGAGTAAAACAAATTCATTCCTAGTTAAAGTATAGGTATTTTTCTACAAATATCAAAAAAGTCCGCAAGATTTGTCCGCAAATGTCTTTTGTAGACAAATCTTTTTAGAATCGTTCTCAAAAATATCTACGGACAATTCCTGCGGTTTTTTAGATTTTGTTGCTGGTCAAAATATTAAACCCCTAAAACTGCCGAACCAAAAAAGTCCGCAATAGTTGTCCGCAAAAATTATATTTTCTTCAAATTTTTCAGAATTTCTAAAAATGGCCGATTATCTTGTTTCCTCTTCAGCCGGTGCAAATACAAATAATTATGCAAGTGTTGATGAAATTGTTGAACACGCAACTCGAAACAACGTCGATGCAGTCTGGGCCGATTGGGGACATGCTAGCGAAGATCCTCGTTTACCCGAAGAATTGAGCACAAAAAATATTGTTTTTATTGGCCCTCAAAGTAAAGCAAATTTTGCTTTGGGAGATAAAATTGCTAGCACGATCATTGCTCAGGTTTGTTGATTTTTTTTTCCGGAGAAAATACATATATTTGCGGACAAAATTTTTTGCGGATTTATTCTTACTGAAAAACTACAGATTTTTTCGAGTAAATTGTTTGAACAATTCTTTGGGGATTGTCTTTTGTGGAGTTTTTTGTGAAAAATATTTCTTGAAAAGGTAATTGCGGAAAGCTTTTGCGGACTTCCTGTTAGGAACTAATTTGTAAAAGTTTATGGATGGGGATGATTTAATTGCAAAAATTCAAAGAGACTTAACTTATTAAAAAATTGTCCGCAAAAAATGCGCGCTAATAATGACCGCAAAGATTCTTTTAAATCCGCAAAAAATCTAGGAATCCGTAAGAAAATATCCGCAAAAATTTGTCCGCAAAAACTTCGGACCTTTAGAAAAAATTATTTTTTTCAAATTTAGACAGTAAAAATTCCAACATTATCATGGTCTGGTAGTGGATTAGTAGCTGAATCAACTGGAGAAGAAGGAAAAGAAGGGGGAAGCGAATTAGAAGTCTCCGAAGAATTGCATTTAAAAGCTTGTGTCTCAACGCCTGAGGAAGGCTTGGCATCAATGAAGGAAAAAAATATTTCTTACCCAGTAATGATAAAAGCATCTGAGGGAGGTGGTGGAAAAGGAATTAGAAGATGTATTAGTGATGAAGAATTTCGTCTAAATTTTGTAAGAGTGAAGACTGAGGTGTCGGGAAGTCCTATTTTCTTGATGAAGTAAGTGTTTATTTGGGGCATAATTCACCATGTCATTTACAAAAATAGTTATAGGAATTTTTGTAGTTGTTTAAGAGCTTTGAAATTTTGATTATATATTCTTAAGAGTGTTTCTTAGTAACCCCCAAAATTTGAGAGTTTTTGGTTATGTTTTCAGAGAGTTGTGATTTTTCACAAATTTGTTGTTGAAAACGATGTATTTCCGGTTTATTATTATTTTTATAAAATTAATTCTTTTTTCTCTACCCCTCTAGATGTATGGTCAATGCAAGACATAAAGAAGTTCAATTAATTGGGGACCATTACGGCCAAGTAATTCCAATATTTACCCGTGATTGTTCAATACAAAGGCGTTGTCAAAAAATAATGGAAGAAGCCCCAGCAGGAATTGCCTCCCCAGAAATTCAACGTCAAATGAAAATGGATGCTGTATATTTGGCAAAAAAAGTTGGTTATGTTGGTGCTGGGATTGTTGAGGTTTTTATTTTGTTATTAAAAAAATTTATCCTGAAACCCGCAAAAATTTTCAGCAAAAATTTTCAGCAAAAAATTTTTCTTTTTATTTTTTCGGGCTTTATTTATCTCCTCCCCTCCATCTATTTTTAATTTTTATTTACGGGGTACTCTTTTGGATTACAGAATTGTTTTTGGTTCTAGGGTTCAGACTGAAAAACCAAAGATTTGGTTCGGTTCGTTGGTTCAGTTTTTTTACTATTACAAAATAGTACGGGCCCCAAATATTTGAGGAAGAAAATTTTTTTTATTTTAACGGCAATTATTCCCATTATATTTTGTGAATTTTCTTGCAACTTTTCCTATTGACTTTTAGAAAATCCGCAAAAATTTTTCAAACAAAAAAAATTTTTCAACTTTTTTAAATTTTTCTTTTTAATTTTCAGTACATGTATTTACTATCAGAACAAAAATATTATTTTTTGGAATTTAATCCACGTCTTCAAGTAGAACATCCGTGTACTGAAATGGTTGCAAATATAAACATTCCAGCTATACAACTTCAAATTGCTATGGGTATACCTTTACATAGAATAACTGAAATTCGTCTTTTTTATGGAATGGATAGATATGGGTATTTTTTTATATAGAAAAATTTTTTTTTGTGTTTTTAAATGTGGGTTTAGAGCTTGTCGAGCATCAAAAAAAGGTTCTCAACCAGGGGTGGACGCAATTGCGGATTGCATGAAATAAATTAAAAATAAATTAAATTTATTTTTAAAATATTGGGATAAAACAAAAATTTTTTCAAAAATCTAATTGTATAGAGAAGAACGATAGCTCATATGAAAGTACATTTTTAGTCAATAGGAAAAGTTGCAAGAAAATTCACAAAATATAATGGGAATAATTGCCGTTAAAATAAAAAAAATTTTCTTCCTCAAATATTTGGGGCCCGTACTATTTTGTAATAGTAAAAAAACTGAACCAACGAACCGAACCAAATCTTTGGTTTTTCAGTCTGAACCCTAGAACCAAAAACAATTCTGTAATCCAAAAGAGTACCCCGTAAATAAAAATTAAAAATAGATGGAGGGGAGGAGATAAATAAAGCCCGAAAAAATAAAAAGAAAAATTTTTTGCTGAAAATTTTTGCTGAAAATTTTTGCGGGTTTCAGGATAAATTTTTTTAATAACAAAATAAAAACCTCAACAATCCCAGCACCAACATAACCAACTTTTTTTGCCAAATATACAGCATCCATTTTCATTTGACGTTGAATTTCTGGGGAGGCAATTCCTGCTGGGGCTTCTTCCATTATTTTTTGACAACGCCTTTGTATTGAACAATCACGGGTAAATATTGGAATTACTTGGCCGTAATGGTCCCCAATTAATTGAACTTCTTTATGTCTTGCATTGACCATACATCTAGAGGGGTAGAGAAAAAAGAATTAATTTTATAAAAATAATAATAAACCGGAAATACATCGTTTTCAACAACAAATTTGTGAAAAATCACAACTCTCTGAAAACATAACCAAAAACTCTCAAATTTTGGGGGTTACTAAGAAACACTCTTAAGAATATATAATCAAAATTTCAAAGCTCTTAAACAACTACAAAAATTCCTATAACTATTTTTGTAAATGACATGGTGAATTATGCCCCAAATAAACACTTACTTCATCAAGAAAATAGGACTTCCCGACACCTCAGTCTTCACTCTTACAAAATTTAGACGAAATTCTTCATCACTAATACATCTTCTAATTCCTTTTCCACCACCTCCCTCAGATGCTTTTATCATTACTGGGTAAGAAATATTTTTTTCCTTCATTGATGCCAAGCCTTCCTCAGGCGTTGAGACACAAGCTTTTAAATGCAATTCTTCGGAGACTTCTAATTCGCTTCCCCCTTCTTTTCCTTCTTCTCCAGTTGATTCAGCTACTAATCCACTACCAGACCATGATAATGTTGGAATTTTTACTGTCTAAATTTGAAAAAAATAATTTTTTCTAAAGGTCCGAAGTTTTTGCGGACAAATTTTTGCGGATATTTTCTTACGGATTCCTAGATTTTTTGCGGATTTAAAAGAATCTTTGCGGTCATTATTAGCGCGCATTTTTTGCGGACAATTTTTTAATAAGTTAAGTCTCTTTGAATTTTTGCAATTAAATCATCCCCATCCATAAACTTTTACAAATTAGTTCCTAACAGGAAGTCCGCAAAAGCTTTCCGCAATTACCTTTTCAAGAAATATTTTTCACAAAAAACTCCACAAAAGACAATCCCCAAAGAATTGTTCAAACAATTTACTCGAAAAAATCTGTAGTTTTTCAGTAAGAATAAATCCGCAAAAAATTTTGTCCGCAAATATATGTATTTTCTCCGGAAAAAAAAATCAACAAACCTGAGCAATGATCGTGCTAGCAATTTTATCTCCCAAAGCAAAATTTGCTTTACTTTGAGGGCCAATAAAAACAATATTTTTTGTGCTCAATTCTTCGGGTAAACGAGGATCTTCGCTAGCATGTCCCCAATCGGCCCAGACTGCATCGACGTTGTTTCGAGTTGCGTGTTCAACAATTTCATCAACACTTGCATAATTATTTGTATTTGCACCGGCTGAAGAGGAAACAAGATAATCGGCCATTTTTAGAAATTCTGAAAAATTTGAAGAAAATATAATTTTTGCGGACAACTATTGCGGACTTTTTTGGTTCGGCAGTTTTAGGGGTTTAATATTTTGACCAGCAACAAAATCTAAAAAACCGCAGGAATTGTCCGTAGATATTTTTGAGAACGATTCTAAAAAGATTTGTCTACAAAAGACATTTGCGGACAAATCTTGCGGACTTTTTTGATATTTGTAGAAAAATACCTATACTTTAACTAGGAATGAATTTGTTTTACTCCTCTGCCCACAAGAAATTGTATCGACTTAAAAACAAGAACAAGTCGTACATAATACTAAACGCCGAAATACCAAACGTTGGAAAAAGAAGGGAAAGTCGCTTCAGCAACGACGGGGAAGATTGCTAAACAATTTGGAATGACAGTATTTCCTCAGATTGGTATTTCGACGGTTTTTGTAATACAGCATCATGCCTATACGAATTATGTATAACCTATTAGTGATCGAGCTGGGTCTGGACAAAGGCCTGGGTTTTCCTGTATAAAGAGTGTAGACCCAGGCATTTTTTGATCTTCCTAGGGTTTTCCTGGGTTTTTTTCTGGACACAGGCTCAGGCAAGAAATCAGCCCTAGAACTACCCAGGAGCTGGCACAGGCTTTTCAAAAATCTCGATCACTAAAACCTATTAAACCCTTTAGAATCTCCTCCACAAACCTGCTTTTGACTGAATTTCCTGTTCAGTAGTTAGACAAACAAATTCAATAATTCTATCATTTCGGAAGAATTGCTTCAACAATTTTCTCATAGAAAGAATACATTCAGCCGCAGCTATACCATTTGTTGCTACCAAAATCTTAAAATTAAAAAAATTTTTGTCCGCAAAAAATGTCCGCAAGTTTTGTCCGCAAGTCAGCATTAATTATTTTCTCAAAGAACATAGATGGTTACTTTCAAATAATAAAATCTATAGGCTTACTTAGCAAAAGTTGTGATTTCTATTCCACAAAATATTTATTTTCCTTAAAAATAAAATTGCGGACAAAATTTGCGGACTTTTAGGAAAATAGCCGAAAAGTCTAAAAATAACTATACGAACATAGAAACTATGTTTTCTTCAAAAGACACTAATAAGGGGAATTTTGGGGAGAAAAAGATGAAAACCTTTCTAATGCTTCTAGCTTTTGTGGAGTCTTCACAAAAATGATTAACAAAACCGTCAATGCATTAAAAACGAGATTTTTTTGATCAACCTTTTGAAAAAAAAAGATTTTTTTTGAACAAAATAATTTCGTTTACCAAATTACTACTCGAAGTAGCCAAAGTTCCATCAAATTTGCTAACCCGAAAAGTTTGTTTGCTGGGTAAAGTCATTTGTCTGGGCATTTTTATTTTTTTTAATTGATAATTTTTAATTAATTGAAGATAAGGTTTTGAATAATTTAGAAATAAAAAATGCTGAAAAAAATTTTGGTTATTAAATTACAAATTAAATTGAAAAATTTCTAAAAGAAATCTAAAAATTGAAAAGTAAAGGCAAGATAAAAAAAATGTCGAAGAAATTAAAACAAGTATATATAGGGAGGGTGGGGGTGGGTGGAAAAATAATAAAAACACAAAGAAAATGATTAAGGAAAGATTTAGGAAAAGGGCAAAAAATAAATAAGTTGGATGGGAAAATATTTGAAATATGTAATGAGGGAAATATTTAAATATATTAATAAACGTGTCGGGACAGAACATGGAACGGACAAAACAAGGTCTTTCCATAACACGGAACGGTAAGAACACGGAATACTTTTAAAATCATATTTTTAAAATCTAAGTTATTTGAATCAGAATTCTAAAAAACAGGATTTAAAAATAATTCTGAAAAATTTTTAAAATATTCTCTGGACCGTGTTTTGGTCGTTCCGTGACTAAAATCCCAGTAACTTCATTCACGATATAACTCAAAATACTCCTTAATCTGTCCAAATCCTCTGATATGGACAGATTAAAGAGTATTTTGAGCGCAAAACCCCGCGCTTCGCGCGGGGTTTTGCGGCATGCGCCTTGCGGTGAGTCAACGGCATCTGGGTCTGGGTCAGTAACATAAACCTATTCCTATCTCCCTTGTTCTGGACGTACTTGGGGCTTCCGTAGCAGCAAAAACCTCCACATAGACCATAGGTAAGGAGCTAAAACAAACGATCATAACTTTGTCCAATCAAGTCGGATTTCGTTGATTTTGGTGTCATTCGACCCAGCTCGTCGAGTTGAGTCGAATGAGATATTATTTGTATTTTCGAATTTTTCACCCCAAAATGAGCCCCCCTTCTCTTTTTCAAACTTGTGGGTCTGTAACTCGGCCCCTGTTTGTCGGACCGACTTCTCCCATATCTAGTTCGACTCAGTTTTCGAGGCTCTTTCGAATGACACCTCATTTGTCGAAATCGGTCCAGCCAAAAAAAACCCACTATAAGTACAATACCCATTTTTATAAAGAAAAATACCTTTTCCATGAGGTTATTAGTACACAGATTGGCTAAACTAGTTTCCGGATCAGGCTCAGAATTGGACGATTTATATGTCATTCGAAAGAGCTCGTCGAGCTGAGTCGAATGACACCAAAATTTTTCAGCGGAAAAAATTCTGAGCTGAGTTACAGACCCCTAAATTCAAAAAACCATAGGGGGACCAAGCTGTTTTCTGGGGGTGAAAAATTCGAATATGCAAATTATACCTCATTCGAAAGAGCTCATCGAGCTGAGTCGAATGACACCAAAATCAACAAAATCAGACGTCATTTGACAAAGTTATGACCGTTTGTTTTAGCCCCTTCCACAAGGGTTTCGCGGAAAAAAGTTTTTGCCGCTGCGGAGGAAGCCGGGCATGTCGAGCGGAACGACGGCCGCCACTTCGCTACGGTCGCCGCGAGCGCAGCGAGCAATTACCCCAAAGTTATAATCCCTCGAAGAAAATACAAAAATAAATTAAATTTATTTTTAAAATATTGGGGTAAAACAAAAATTTTTTCAAAAATCTAATTGTATAGAGAGAACGATAGCTCATATGAAAGTACATTTTTAGATGATAATAAAAATAATGAGTCGAATTAATATACTTCAATTACCCCAAAGTTATAATCCCTCGAAGAAAATACAAAAATAAATTAAATTTATTTTTAAAATATTGGGGTAAAACAAAAATTTTTTCAAAAATCTTATCGTATAGAGAGAAACGATAGCTCATATGAAAGTACATTTTTAGATGATAATAAAAATAATGAGTCGAATTAATATACTTCAATTACCCCAAAGTTATAATCCCTCGAAGAAAATACAAAAATAAATTAAATTTATTTTTAAAATATTGGGGTAAAACAAAAATTTTTTCAAAAATCTAATTGTATAGAGAGAACGATAGCTCATATGAAAGTACATTTTTAGATGATAATAAAAATAATGAGTCGAATTAATATACTTCAATTACCCCAAAGTTATAATCCCTCGAAGAAAATACAAAAATAAATTAAATTTATTTTTAAAATATTGGGGTAAAACAAAAATTTTTTCAAAAATCTTATCGTATAGAGAGAAACGATAGCTCATATGAAAGTACATTTTTAGATGATAATAAAAATAATGAGTCGAATTAATATACTTCAATTACCCCAAAGTTATAATCCCTCGAAGAAAATACAAAAATAAATTAAATTTATTTTTAAAATATTGGGGTAAAACAAAAATTTTTTCAAAAATCTTATCGTATAGAGAGAAACGATAGCTCATATGAAAGTACATTTTTAGATGATAATAAAAATAATGAGTCGAATTAATATACTTCAATTACCCCAAAGTTATAATCCCTCGAAGAAAATACAAAAATAAATTAAATTTATTTTTAAAATATTGGGGTAAAACAAAAATTTTTTCAAAAATCTAATTGTATAGAGAGAACGATAGCTCATATGAAAGTACATTTTTAGATGATAATAAAAATAATGAGTCGAATTAATATACTTCAATTACCCCAAAGTTATAATCCCTCGAAGAAAATACAAAAATAAATTAAATTTATTTTTAAAATATTGGGGTAAAACAAAAATTTTTTCAAAAATCTTATCGTATAGAGAGAAACGATAGCTCATATGAAAGTACATTTTTAGATGATAATAAAAATAATGAGTCGAATTAATATACTTCAATTACCCCAAAGTTATAATCCCTCGAAGAAAATACAAAAATAAATTAAATTTATTTTTAAAATATTGGGGTAAAACAAAAATTTTTTCAAAAATCTAATTGTATAGAGAGAACGATAGCTCATATGAAAGTACATTTTTAGATGATAATAAAAATAATGAGTCGAATTAATATACTTCAATTACCCCAAAGTTATAATCCCTCGAAGAAAATACAAAAATAAATTAAATTTATTTTTAAAATATTGGGGTAAAACAAAAATTTTTTCAAAAATCTTATCGTATAGAGAGAAACGATAGCTCATATGAAAGTACATTTTTAGATGATAATAAAAATAATGAGTCGAATTAATATACTTCAATTACCCCAAAGTTATAATCCCTCGAAGAAAATACAAAAATAAATTAAATTTATTTTTAAAATATTGGGGTAAAACAAAAATTTTTTCAAAAATCTTATCGTATAGAGAGAAACGATAGCTCATATGAAAGTACATTTTTAGATGATAATAAAAATAATGAGTCGAATTAATATACTTCAATTACCCCAAAGTTATAATCCCTCGAAGAAAATACAAAAATAAATTAAATTTATTTTTAAAATATTGGGGTAAAACAAAAATTTTTTCAAAAATCTAATTGTATAGAGAGAACGATAGCTCATAT